TTAGTTCCATATTTAAGTTTACTCATTCACCATGATAAAAAGAAGCACACCCAACCAATGGTAGCCTAAACAACACAGAAAGACATGGGATCCGTGTCCACGAGCAAGTGTGAAGCTTTGAATTGCATCAGTTTGACAGCAACTCGCTGTGCTACGTGATGCAACCTGTCTGTAGGCAATAGCAATGACCCATAGGCTGAGGAATTTAGCTAACCATGTGCAGGCTGGTTTCACTTAATAACAACCGTATCAATACTAGAGTACTGTTTATATTTTAGAAATCAAATGGTCGTGTCATCAGAGAGTGAGTCACAGAGCCCAACCTCTCCAGACAATACATACATGTGAAACATCTATGAGTGGTTGATTCAGCTTTTGTTGAGGTAGGCAACAAAGATTAGATTACGAGAAGATTATGCAAGCCTAGTATGAGTAAGTGCCTTGTAGTAGTGCCAAATAAGATTTTATATGTGGTACTTGTAGTTTCTTTAAAAGAAACACTCCTCTAAGATACTTCAGGTGAGCTGGGACGTTTGAACAAAAGACAGGAAGCTTTAAAAAAAAAAAAGAGGTCATAAAAACACTTGCGTCAGCAGCTTTCACCTTCCCATGACTCTCTCCAAAACAGAAACACGATACACGAAAACATAATGGCCAGTTCAAATTACCATTCAACATGGTACCGGTAAGGTGAGATAATACACCATGAGTAAATGCATTACACACGTGCAGCATTTCTCACTAGAATGAAACGTCAACCAATAAATAAGAACTGAATAAAAAAATCATTAAATAACAATCGTCTCAGTGTAAGATCACTGTCCAGGTGATCTGGTTATAACTTAGACAGTCAAAAGTTCATCTTAAAAATATCTGAAATGCTAGGCTCCTGTAAGCCAGACTCTCGCCAGTGTCAGGATCACTGTTTCAGAAAAAGTGAAAGTTTTGCACCTTTCTCACACTATGCCAATTATCTAACTAATCTACACAGACAAAACACTTGTTTCTTTGGACCTTTTTCACTGATCGTCCCTTCCACACCAAATCATATAAAAATGGAAAAGGTTTCCAGTGGAAAGTCTGCGTGTCTTTTCCATATCTTTGATCACGTCTGCTTGATCTCATTGTCAGATTGCCAAGTGCTGTGAAGTGCTGCACACAAGCAGGGGAACAACAAGCAGTCATACATGAAGGAGCTTTGGATACTTTCCAGCAGCTTTGTGTCATCTGTAATCTAGGTGTCCAGTTTGGGGATGGATGGAGTGCTAAGCCTTGTAGCAGTTGCCCTGCGTGGTCAGTGCCAGCTGGCCATTGGGTGCCACCTCGGTGGCCTCGTCCTCCAGCAGGCCAGACACGTCAGCGTTGGGGATGCTGTCGTGGTAGCTGCTGAAGCTGATGTTGTCCTCTTTCAGTTCAATGGTCCAGAAAGGGGCGTTGAGCTTGCGATTCTGGTACTCCCGATAGGTGTACACACCTCCGACAAAGCCCAGCAGCAGCAGCACCACCAGAATGATGACGGCCAGGATGATGATGTTGAACTGTGTCCAGGAGACTTCTGTCAGGGCTGCTGTGGTGTTGTCGGTGGGGCTGCTCAGGCTGGTCAGCAGGGCCTGGGTGGTGGCAGCGGCGCTCAGGGAAGTGCTTGTGTTGCTGCTGGATGTGGACGCCGGGATGCGTCTTGCTATGGCAGAGTTCAAAGTAGTGCTGGTGGTAGACGTGGAGGGGGATGATGTATTCGACACGAGGGCCTCTGGTGTAGTTGTATCTGCTGGTGTGGGAATGAGCCGCCGTGCTGTGGAGAGAAAGGCAGTAAAGACATTAGTGAATAATATAGTTAAGATTTTATTCCACAACTTTGTTAAATTCACAGACCTGACAGGACAATCCAGTAAAGGCTTGTAACATAAAGGTTGACTCTAACCAAAGTAACTTCTGACACCTTGTGGCAAAAAGAGATTACTACCTCATACTCTACATACACCTGCTGCTTTTTTTATTATCCCTGTCGCATAATACTGTATATACTGCATAATACTACAACATGCATGCACACACACACACACGGCCAACTCATGTTGTGAGGGCAGGTAGCGAGCTAGAAATGAATACATTGTACTGATCATTCTGTATGTGAATTTGATTATCCAAGGCGCTTTCCAGTGTCAATAACAGTATATTACACAGTATGTTTTCAAAACAACTCATTCACTATTTAATAGATCCTTAATTTGTTACTCTGGGGCGGCTGTGGCTCAGGAGATAGAGCCGGTTGTCCCTTAACCAAAAGGCCGGCGGCGTCACCAGTCCACGTGTAGAAGTGTCTTTGAGCCAGACACTGAACCCCAAATCGGTCCCAGTGATATCACCACTGTGTGAGTGAGACGATGGTTTGTGTACTCAAATGGGAGTATAGTTAATTAATTAATAATGGCTGCAGACCATGGTAATTAAAATGTCTGATGAGGGAAAATGGTCACATACTCTATGAAAACTCAGCTCTAGACCCACACAAACTGTTTCTTTTTATTTATTTCAGTATTATTCTTATTGAAGTATGCAAGCTTTCTTTTTAAGCAAAATGCAGATCACAAAAGAACCTCTTACCAACTGTATTGTTATGATTTTATTAGAAATGTATTCTTTTCTAAATATCTAATTTATCAAATACAGCCATACATTAGAAGGGCTAAAAATAAATGCATTAGATCTATTCTAGGAAGACTAAAAACTATAACTCAGTCACTGATTTCTCTGTCAGTTGTGTCAGTTTTGCCAGGAACCCAGTATTGTGCACACTGGCCATAGCTTTGTGGGCACAACAATGGTACAGAGCCATTGTTAATGTTGTTAGTTGTACCTTGTGTGTTTTCAGCTATGACAAATCAAAGTGGTTGCTGGAATAAAAGTCTGTTGTTTCTCTTATTTGTTTTCTGAGCTGCCTCACAAGTTTTCTTTTTAAACTGCTTTAACTGAGTCACTTCATTCAAAAATGTAGGGACTTTGGCCTGCAGGCTGGCATTTCTCTGAGTGTACTATTCAGTTATTAAGTGTTAAAATCTATATATACTGTAGTATGTAACTGGGACACTGTCTGTGATGACCTTCAGGTAGCACTTCGCACCTCACAAAGGAAATGAACATGTCTGTCATATTAAGTTAGTAAGGAAAACAAATGCTTGTCCAAACTGTGTATCATGGTTCAGTCTTACATGAGCGAGTGCAGTTATGTGCCCGGCCATCCCCTATGAATCCAGGTGCACAGAGCTGGCACTGGGGGCCAGCGGTGTTGTTGATGCAGTGGAAGCAGTGGCCGGTGTCGGGATGACAGAGCTGGGCGGGCCGCTGAGGGTCTGCATTCCCACTGCAGTCACATGGAACACAAGTCCCAGAGGTTTTGTAGAAGCCGGCACTGCACTTGTCACACTGAGGGCCGCTGTACAGGTGAAGGCACTGGTCACACACTGCGGAGCCACTGGGATCTGAGCAGGAATAGACAAACACACTTCAGTTTCTGACCACTGCTAATGATGTAGCTACAAAGGTAGGAAAATCTCTAGGCCTTGAAAAAGGACTTCTCAGGACCAGACCATGACCTGCAGCTTCTTTTGTTTTTTAAATACTAAATGTGGCAAAAGGTTTGATTGGACAGATTTGCACTGGATTCTACCTAATGCAGAAACTCAGCTCAGAGAACACATTCTCCTAATACTGTCAAGAAACAAATCAGTACAATACCCTCATATTCTGCAGTCTCTTCTAAATGACTCAATTACAAACTCAACCTTAGTCAATATATCACAAATACAGTGGATGAAAAAAAAAATCATCAATGTTCAATTTTAGCATTTGTTTAGAGACAATCATCTGGACATACATGGCCTGCTCTTCAGACAATCCCACATGAAACAGCTAACACTGTGCCACTAGGTGGCTCAAGATGACAGTATATCCATCTGAGGCAGATTCATTTTCACTCAGACACCACATGTGGACAAATATCATTATACTGTATATCAAAAGGTTACATATGTCATACCCTCATCTAATGCTGGTGTAGTATCACAGGTTGGTGGACACTTCGCTGGACAAAGCCACTGCCAGTGTCATTAGTTCCACCTGCCTTGTACTAGAATATTTAGTGGGTATAACAACATCAAGGCTGGCAGGGTAAGGCTACTTCTCTAACTCCTAGTATATGTATGCACTTGTGGTTCAGTAAAGTCCCATGAGTAACTCCTCTGCCTTCACCAGAGTTTGATTTACTCTAGAAATAATCCCAGTTCCTTCATCAGCAACACGTGTCATTTCAGGGGTCAGCTTTCCCCGCAACCTCTGTCCTTGGTAATATGATGCCACAGCGCCTCCTGGCATGTCAGTACAGTATGACAGGATAACAACACACAACCCTCAGCAGCACCATGTCTCCAAAGGAGAAAAGGTTTTAGTGAATTATGTCTAATTGTGGCAAATGACAGATATCAGTTTAGTTTTGCTTTTTGTCATGCTAGCAGTGTGGTACATCTGTTTGTTGGTCCAGCACTCTGGTCCAGACTGAAACCTCTCAACATAGTGTGGTACATCTGTTTGTTGGTCCAGACTGAAACCTCTCAACACGTACTGAATGCACTGCAATGAAATTCTGTACAGACATTCATTGTCCCCATTTGTTCAAAACATAGGGTTTATGACCAAATGCCGACAAAACTAAGAGAACAGCAGATGTTTCTCTCCAAAGCCACATCCCCCAGCTCCTCCTGGGGCAGCTCAGGATGTCAGGCTCCCAGGCCAGATGGGCTTTATAATTCCTCTATCATGTTCCAGATCTGCACTCGGGTCTCCACCATGTGACGACATACAGGGTGCCCAAACCACCTCATTCTGAACCAGTCTTACTTGGAGCTCCTTTCAGATACTTAAGCTTTTCACCCTTACTGTAGGAGAGTGGCTGCATGTTGCCATGACCCTGACATGTGTGTACTTGAAGGCAACAGCCACCCCACTTCACCTCACCTGGATCAGGGAGGCAGGGGCCCCTTCCTGGAGCTATGCCTGGGAGCAAAGCTCGGTCCATTTAAGCTGATGGTGGGATTACCTCAGTCAGGAGCTTGTCATACTGACAAAAAGAATAAGAATGCAGCACGCTGTATATAACGGTGTGACTAGCCGCCCCTGCGGCTCTGTGGGCCCACCAATGACCTGCCTATGGACTCCAGTCCTCAGCACAGCAGAGCCTTCAGTGCTGAATGATTTAGAGAACTGCCTTCCAGTGGCCTAGATGTTGGGCTCTATCTCGTGGTCATGTGACTGTGCCGTACCCCAGCACAGAGCAGGCTGCTCCTGATAAGCCTGATTTAACCTGTGGTGGGGGTTCAAAGGCAGCTGGACCGCTGAGTTATATAACCATGAGCAAACATGAGCTGCTTTGCACAGGGCCAAGGGACGTGAACTGCTTGATTACCCATTGTCCTCCACTTAGCTATGATACACTTACAAAGGCCTGGTAACTGCAGCCCAGGTGTGCACTGTCTCGCACAGACACAGACAAACAAACAAAAACAAAAGGATAAAAAACAAAACGTGAAAGAGGAATTGAAAAATGAATAAACATATCTGATGAACAACAGGATAAACTGATCCCAGCTGTGTTGTAGCACTGAGTAAAGAGACAATCATACATAGATGATTTAATATGTGTGACCCACATTCTGAACTGGTGCACTGCTCCACTTCACCTCTCTGTGTGTCAGTGTGGAGGGATATTCATTCACTGCAATAGGCCTCATCAGCACATTTAGAAAGCAACTCTCCTCCAATGTGGACCCATGATACTGCACTGTGGCTTCTTCTCATTTCTTACTGTTGCCAGGGTAACCTCTGAGAGGCTGCTTTTCATTTTTCAGCTCCAGTGTAAAACATCCTCCGGCAGCTCTCTGACACTATCCTGAGCCTTTCTCCCCTAACACAGCTCTTCCTATAGTGCTGCTGTCTAATCAGGGAATGTGATGCTGCCCCTCCCCCTGTTTGTTGCTGCTTCACTAGTGCTGGAATGACCTCGCTGTGCTCATGCTGTCCCAGCTCAGTGCAGCCTGGTTCATGTCCCTTCCACATTGCACAAGCCACCCTGCCAGGGGCAAACATGACCTGACAGCCTAAGTGCATCTATACATGGCTGTTGCCATGCAGGCCGCCGCCAATGGGGTGGGCACCAGGATGTGGCAATGTTGTCAGTGGAGAAGGGAAAGGTGAGAGAACATGATGAGGCAGACAGGGATGCAACGCTGAATGAAAACCTCAGTGGGCAGTTTACAGGAAGGGTTCAGGTGCAGTCTGACATGGATAAGCAGTAATCTAAGTCACTGTGTCATGTTCAGACCAGAAAAGGCTTTTGGTGGCATTAATGACACATAAGATGGTGGCACATGGCTGCTGGCTGTGCTGCAATTAAGGTCCTGGAATTGGAAGATAATCTCTGTTTGACTGAACACCCTGTTAGCAAACAGAAAGCAAATAATGTAATATTCTTTTCCACCTATTGTGTCACCCAGCAAAGCAGAATGACCTAGTTAATGGATGGATGGGATGGGACTAACTACTTTGACAATCATTTAATTGTTTAAGTCCATTTTCAAGTAAAAATGCTTTGATGTTTCCAGCTTCTCAAACATGAGAATCTGCTTGCTGCTTTTCTCGGTTTTATAATTATTAGAAAACTCTTTGGGTTTTGGATTTCTTATAGGACAAAACAAGCGTTATGACATTAGTTTCTGATGTTTTTTTATAAACTAAACAGTTAATCTACAAAATAACCATTTAATTGAGGTAGTTTCTATTCATACCCCGGTCAGAGCGCTGCGCTCCTCTGAGCATTTGTCTCTGTTTGTCCCGCGGGCAAGGTACAAAAAGTGGGGTGATCGTTCTTTTGCCGTATATGCCCCCAAGCTCTGAAATACCCTGCCTCTGAGCTTCGGTCTATAACTGAGTTAATGGTTTTTAAGTCTAAATTAAAGGCAAACTTATTCAGACTGGCTTTCAGCATTTCATTTATAGCAGTGGTGCTATACAGGCTTTCTGATTTTATATTCTATATTCTTATTCTGTTTGTACTTTGACTCATTTTTACTGTACAGGAGTTTTATAGTTGTTTACAGACCTTGGTTTTAAATTTGTGTAATTCTAACTTGTTTTCCTTTTTGTTCATTTATGTGTCTTAAGATGTTCTGCTTTTATTTTTATATGTTTTGTTGTGAAGCACTTTGAGCACCCTTGGGTGTTACAAAGCGCTATATAAACAAATAAATAAAATGAAATTAGTTTAAGAATATGACACTGACTGTAGCTGAGCTCAGGTCTCAATCCAACAGAGACTTTTGGGTATGTAAGTAGGACAGCATCAGCCTGGAGGTGAAAGAGGAGGGGTCACAGAGGAAGGTCGCAGAGGAAGGTCGCAGTTAATCCCAGACTGTTTGGAAAAACCGATCGACAGCACTCTGGTTGACAGTACTGGAGATGTACCAAAACATTCTTTTTTAAATGAACTGAAAATCTCAAAGCAACTAACAGTTAACTGTGTGTGAGGATCTGTATGTAGTCTGAGAGACAAAACCTTAAAAGTCACAGTCAACCTAGACGTACATAACTGGATTTCTGGAGACACTGGCAACAGACTGTGAAAAATCACAGGTTGGTGCACGGCACATGTCAGTTTGGTGACATTAGTGAGCGACAAGCTCAATCAGTCAGTGAATAAATTTGGATTGTGGCAGTGCATTTATATACTGTATCTGCTTCACACTTCACATATCTATCAATGGATTTACATATCCGTCTTGTTAGAGCCATTTGGAGAGCTGGTTTTTCCTGCAGTGCTCAGCCAACAGAGAGGTGTTGATTCATGAGCTATAAATATGAACGGTACTTAGGAAGGGCCATTCTGTGCACTAATGGAGCTGAATCTAAATATCAGTTTTTCTTACTTTGTTGAGTAGGTAATTACATAACTACGTGCTGGAGTTATCTCTTGTTGGAGTCTTTCATGGTTATCTGGCAGTTGTTAAAATGCCAAACTATTCCTTTAACCAAATGAAGGTTTCCTGGTCAGACTGATTATCTTGCAATCTCTAAAACTGTTTTGACATAAACCACATTTTCATCCTCTCTGCTGCTGACTGCATTTCTCTGGAGCTATCTCCAGCACAGCTATAGTGCAGTTTGATGGTGGAAAATGTTTTCACAGACTTCATAAATTGATTTCTTCAACAACCAAATAAGCATGTAGCAATAACACAGCACTGCAATGCTAACTTTATGGCATGTGTCAGTGAGACCAAACCTGCTTAATCACTGCAACAACTCTGGGATAACAATCTGAACTAAATGTCTGTTGTGCGGCTGTGAGCAGCATGGACTGACCGGTGCGACAGGTGCCGGTGGAGGTGGAGGTGGAGCAGGGACACGGTGCACAGGCTCCAGTCAGGGCAGCTCTGGGGCTGCGATAGAACCCGGGCTTACACTCTTCACAGTTGGAACCCTGGGTGTTGTCCTCACAGTTCAGACACACTCCTTGTGGAGAGAACAAAGGTCACATGGTTATACAGGGTTTTCCTTGATCTGCTTACTTCCCTCAACACAGAAGATCCGTTGGTTATATCGCCTTCACTATGGTGTTTATCAGGCTCAGGATGGTCATTTCAGCAGTACGTTTGTGGACTGGTATGGCTAAACGTGTTTAGTTTGGGCTTGTAATCACTCTCTATCAACTGAACTGGACCATTTAGCACAAAGCATATACACAAACACACATTTCTTACAAGAGTGGAAATCAAGAGTTCATCAACTAAAGCTCAATCTTGCAAATAAAAGGTATTTAAATTACCAATCATAATAATGGCAGCATAAATAACCAGACATGCTGTTTAAACTGGGGTTTTAGTAAAACCCTAAGGCAATGTAAACATTTCATTTAGTTCCCTTGATAGAAACCTGATAAATTGCTAATCATGTTGTGTATACATCTACAACAGCAGAAAGCACTGTCTTAGATGTTTAAGTTAGCATAGTCACCACCACTTTTTAACTGACAGTGCAATATTTAGGCTATTATAATGTTGTTTATGGTAACAGCTTTAGTATTACACTGCTTTAATTTGTATTCCCTGTATTAGAATTCTCAGAATTAAACCATTCATTGTTATTACTGTAAATATCTGTGAAGGTATTATCCATACTGTGCTGTTTGTACTTGAGCTTGTGCATGCGGTTGAGTTGTTGTGCCTCCATGATCGGAGAGAGACGTCATGTAGACATGGCTAAACCTCTCTAAGGGCCACCTGCTCGCTACAGTATGTCTTTGTGTAGCAGTGGTTTCAGGGATGAGGAATGAGTCTCCAGGCTCCTCTTATAACCAGGCATGAAATGACTGTCAACAGTGACTAGTAGTAAATGAAATCAGCTGCTGAGTCACTGCAGTGAAGAGGAAGGAGTGCTTACCTACGTCAGTAATAAGAATCAACAGCTTTCACACACCATGTGTTGATAAAATCTGGCTTTTCTGCAATAGATCTCTTTGAGGTTCATAGGTGAATGCTAAATGACAACTTGTGAACTTGTTCTTTTAAAAAATGCTGAAAAAAACCCTCAACTGTAAACAGTAGGTCAGTGTTGGAGGTCATCTGCTTCCTCAATAACATTGGACAAATGTTTAATATCAAGTCCCTGTCATGTTTGTCTGTGGTCTATAGTGTTTGAGATACTGTATCATTTGCTTTAGCACAATGTGTCCTGGTGTAAGTGGCCCCTGGGGAGAGGCTAGGGTCGGTCTTTGAAGGGGGCAGTCAAACCTGAGCTACAGTATGTTAATCCACAGCGTTGAACACTAAGCCCAGGCCAGGCTACAGCACTCCATCTGCCCCTGCATTATACTGGCAAGACATATAGCTTCTAAAACTAGTCCCTCACCACCACGTCCCCCTCCGCCTCCTCTTCAAGCCTGTCACTAGCTAGCTAGACATTTTTAAATCTTTAAGCCTGACTGCTGGTGGGAGAGCAGAGATCCTCCTTTACATGTGGATCAAGGACACAGAGGAGGATAATTCCACCTTAAATCACATAGGAAACTGGATTTGTGGTATTCTACATTTTTAACACTTTATGTTTAGTTTGCCTCTGATTAAACAGCTTTCTTAGTCCTTTTTACCAACTGTTTTTCTACTTCTGTAGTGGTTCCAGAGTAAATATTTACTTTAGAGCAACTGACAGTCTGTGTACTGCCAAAGCCTTTAATTAAACACAGCATATAACTGTCAGTGCATAGTACCAAGGTGTTAACCCGTACAAAGTCCAAGAGTTAAATTTATGGGGAGCCTAATGAGCATTTCATTGGCTAAGACTGATTTGTTAAACTTTAGCGTATTTATTCAGTGACCATCTGCATGCTGAAATGAACAGATCCAGCTGCTCCTTTCATTACAGGCACCACTAAATCGGTGCTGTCATTACTGGGCTTTTCAAGGGGAAATATGGGCTACCGAGACACCCCCGTGAACTTCTGCTGCTTGAAAGACATAGATAATTGTCACAGCAAAGTATCTTGAGAGTCTAATTAAACACAAAAGACACAGACACTTTTGTCAACTGTGTTTCTAGACATACAGTATCAGGAGCGACAACACTTTGACATGCAGACACAAGGAGCCGGACGTCAAACCAGCTACCCTGTGATTAAAGGTCAGCCTAACTGTGTTCAAAAAGTACTAGAAATACAACATAAGGTACTTACAGTGTATTCTATAATAGACAGTTTATCATTAAACTGCCCCTGTGCATGGCCCCAGCATTTCATTTCATCTGGGCAGACTCACCAGACTGTGCTGGCAGGGCCGGCAGCCAGTGCTGCTAAAGTGGAAGAAACCTGGGTGGCACTCATCACACTTGGGTCCATACACTCCTGTCTTGCACACACATATCCCTGAGCTGAAAGGAGCAGAACAGAACACAAAGTCAATACAACAGTACACAAAATGCAGTCCCATTTAATGCAATGCAACAGCAGGCCCAGAGATGTGAGCTCTGTGAGTGTTTGCTTTTTGGATTGCAGTCTTGATATCACTTCACACTTGACTTCCTGCAGGTTCTCCCATCCACCCATCTGCTTTCTACAACACTACTCCAGGTATGCAGCACGTGGGAAGCACCCTGAGTCAGCTGTAGCCCAGAGCTGCAACAATATCGGTTTCCCCACTGACATGTTTACCATGTAATGCTGGACAGTGTCGAAGAGTGGAAACTGGCTCCCTGTCTCATCAAACACCGTCTGTGCAGTTCACCCAAGTCACAAATGAGAATTATTTCTAAAAATCAGAGGCAGCTAGAAATAGGAAGTGGTGATATAACCATGTCTTTCTAAAACCAATGTCCCAGTGTTACTCAGGATTATCCACAAATCTCACTGAACTGTTTTCTTTGGAACTACTTTTGCATGCTTTTAGGGTACATTGGACAAATGTTTAAAATAGCTAACTGTAAATACAACTAAGAGGCACTGGACACAGACTGAGTCCTGATGTTGACAAGGTGTAAATGTATCCACCTCTCAAAACTGCATACATAAGCTTTACTTCTTCCAACATCACTCAGGAAATGATCCATGGAAATTTACAAGGTCTTTCTCCTATAATAACAGTAGCTGAAGTTACACTGACATTTCACTTAAATCAGCTGTTTCCCCATCTTAAAGCCACAGAAAGAAAATGACCCGTCAATTTCAGCACGCAATCATACAGAAAATTATGGAGTACTGCCGTTGTGGTGTTTATCTGATCCCTGATCAGTGCAACTCTGGGATGGTCTCCGTGGGTAAGGGAGCGAAGTGCCCTTGAAGACAAATAAAACATTTGTCTTGCTTGTATGCAGTTACCTCATGTGTTTGTGTGTTTTTTTTGCTTAGGAATAGTTGTTAGTAGAGATGCATATATGTGGCTAAGTGTAAACAAAAAATACTTTTAAATCATAAATGGACTTAATCCATATATGACAACTGAATAGACAAGTGTAAATGGGCTCATAGTCCTTTTATTATAATACATTATAAAGTGAATGTTTCTGTGCAACAAATTACAACCAAAAACAACAGAGAGCACATGTACCTCTGTTAAGACACAACATTCGCTCACACAAATGGGTCCCTTGTGAAAAATGAGATCCAGAACAACACAAAATGTGTCCCAAAATCCTTGATTTGGATGGGATCCAGATCATCTTTTAGGGTATGATAGGCAGTTATACTGTGCATCTTACCTGAACATTTCAGGGTTCTGTCTTCATTACAGGACAGGTTATGGGGGAAAATATGTGTTAAATGGAGTTTTCATCAATGTCAACTTTAAATGGGCATCAAATCCAGATGAAATCTGATCTCGTGATAGAGTCTGCTAACCAAACACACACACACAAAACCAAAAACATAACCTCCTTGGCTGAGGTAACAAAGCTGGTTTTATGACCAAGGGGACACTGAGAGGATAAGGGCTGCAATAAGACTTAGACCAGCCCTGCTCTATAGACAGAACTGGAGCTGAATAGTGAATATTGGCCAGTATTGTATAATGGTCACAATACTGTAAACTATATTATGTTTCTGTATAAAAAATACTATCAGCAGATTCATTTGTATCACATTCTTCAGATCCCCTAATACTGATACTGGTATTGGCCTCAGAAATGTAGTAATGGTTGGGCTATGAACAGAGTGAAAGCATAAACAGCCTTTACCGACTTCATGTGTTTTACATAACTGCGTATGATCGCTCTCAGCTGAGAAAATCTCACTGGATAATGCCGCCAAGAAACAGGGTCTGGCAAAGTTAAACTTGTCTATTTGAACTCCACAGCAATAATAAACACAAAAATGATTTCTTCCATTTGCTTGTGTCTCCCAGGTTGGATCTGCTCTCACTATCATGTGGCTGACTGTTAAAAAAAAGTAGATGCATGCTCATTTATACAATGAAGCATGTATGAGAGGTGTTATTAATTCCCCTGAAAAAAATATTCCAAGGAAGAGAACAATGTGAAGTCAAGCCTGATTAGTACTCAAACCCAGACAATGAGCTCAGAAAAATAATCTGGGGACAATAACTTCTAAACAATTGAAGTAAATCACGAGTGACTGGAAACACTTTCCACGAGCATGTGTGTGGGTCCTCATACAAACAGGGCTTTGTTAAAACAACTGCACTTAATGCAAATGCCGAGGCCCGCGGCGATGCTTAGTGGAGCATGGGCCCAGCTGAGGATGAAGCTGGGAGAACAACAGTCCTCCTTCCTCCAGCTAAAGACACACACAGACATTTGTTTTCATTCCTCACGGGGACTTTACAGTCACTTACGTCCATTTCTTGGAGACGACCCCTTATCTTAATACTTGCCTAACACCCAACCCTTATCCTTGAAACAAGTCGTCACCCAAAAATTCAAAGGTTTACAGGGTGGGGACAGGCATCTGGTCCCCAAGTCCCCCCGATGTTAGTGTGCAAACAGGTTTCGGTCCCCACAAGATGAGTAAGGTGCACATGTGGACACGCACACACATAAACACACATTAACCATACTGATGATGATGATGATGATGATGATGATACAATCAGCATCATGACCTTAATAGAGTTGGGTCAGACACCGTCCAACTGTCCCACAGAAAAGAGAGCACAGTCCACTCAATCCTGGCAAAGTGGTTCGGTTTAAAATACCATCATACGCATTCTGAGAATAACATCCAGTTACGTGAACAATTCCATTCTGAAAAGTAAATATTACGCAGTGGAGGTCTTGAGATCAGGGATCGGTTGTTTTTAAGTTTGATCTATCAAACTACAACTTACAAAATGTTCACAAATTTTGAATTGAGAACTTGGCTTTTTTTTTTTTTTTACAGTGTTTATTTGTCTCAATAAAATAGTGAAAAATACTCAGTTTGACAGAAGCAGAGACAGCATTCCTCACCTTTGACAAGCTGCAACCAGAGAATGCTTGGCAACATTTATTCAAATATGCCATAGCATGATAAAGACAAGAGAGCAATGTGATAAAACAGCTGAACAATGTAGAAAATGAGCAAAACAGCCTGCCCTGGGTTGCACCACTGGTCTAGTTGCAGGTGGTCAGTAGGACACAATGTGTCTACTAAACCTTCATCTCACACTGTGAGCAGCTCAAATGTGACGTTGTCACTAATTTGGAGGTCTGTCATCTAATATTCAGCCTGCAAACCCACCAGGTCCACTGCTGGAACAGTAAAGGGGAAGCCTCTCAGAGGAATGTAGTTGAGGCTTAGAGCTAATGAAGACCTTTTTCCTCAGTGAGCAGTAATCTGGGAGTTAATTTATGCCCTCTTGGCCGGGCGGAGGAGTTTATTATTGTTTTGGTGTGATGTCTCTGTACTGTGCTGGCCCGGCCACTGAGTCCCATCTGTATGGTAAGTAGGTCAGTATTACAACAAAGCTTAATCCCTTACTGTGGCTGTTACATGTGCTGGATCAAAACAAACGGCCACAAACATCTCTGCAAGAGGGAAGAGGCTGCCAGTTAGTTCCCAAGCAGTGGAAGGTTGGCAAAAATAAACAAGGAACTACTCCAACTATTCTGTTACATTGCTGGGTGTGCAGACATCCTGAAAGGCTGTGTTAAGCAACAGAGCAACAGGACCTGATCTCCTGGCTCATGCTAGGCTCTGTCAGGCTACCAGACTAAAAAAGCCCTGCTTTAAACTGTGTAGATGTGTGAACTAGTGGGGGTGTGTTGTTTTATGTACCAGCGCCCAGCACTCGCATTATGGTCCAACTGATAAAACCAAGCTATATCAGCCACTGTAACTGATGCTGAGTAAAGATGTATTGATGCCAGATGCATCCACTGCAGACTGACACATGATGCAGAGGTGAAAAAATCTGCAAGCACCATCAATATTTCATGACAGACTGTGGCGCCTTGCACACAGTACCACAAAAAGCAATGCCTTACAGACAACGCCAAGGGGAACTGACCCAAATACAGCACTGATAAAAGCGTTATGACAGATGCAAGTGATAAAGCTCTTTTGTTAAATGAACTCAACAAAACAGGCAACTTTGTATGATTTGCGGTGTGACTGTAAACAGAAAGCCACATCAGGAGCACACAGAGAGAGGAACTCCCATTAGGGCCATTAAGCACACTGAATAACGATGCTATTCCAGATGTCATTTAGCTTTAAAGACCTGTTCATCCTGAATGAACTTCACTAGTCTGGGTTTCAGTGAAGCTGGGTGTCCCAGAATAGGGTCAATTCAACAACTGGTTTATCTGCTCATGTGCAACTGCCACTGATCAATGTTTACCAAATACTAACGTAGTGGTTCCAGGACATACTGGCAGTGTTTATGGTTTTTAGCTGTTTAGCTGTTTGCTAGTAGCGTGGCTCTGCAGATGGCAATGCTGATCAGTTGGGCCAACATTTTTGCAACTGCTACATGGCTTGCCTTGCAATTTTGTACAGACATTCATGGTCCCCACATTAGGAATGTCAATGACTTTGGTGAACCCTGAACTTCCTTTGGTGCCAACATCAGATCTGACACAGACACTTGTTCCCTTCAGGATAAGTAACAACAACTTTGGTTATCATATCATCACAGCATTAAAAACCAAATATCTGTAAACAGTCCCAGCAGCCTCAGCTTTTCTTTGTGTTTATTGATAATTAGCAAATACTAGCATGCTAACACACTAAAACAGGACAGAACAGCGTCTCACAGTCACGCCCATGGCGATACAATAGGCTCCAAGATGCCAGTAAGAAATGCTTGTTGGATGCTTTGGAAACCTGCTCCCCGACACCTTTCTGACATCATAGCCCACACACCTATTTAACACTGTGATTGGCCAGCTGTGAAGAGGTGAGAACGTATGCAAGGAACTCTCTGAAGCTCAGTTTTTCC